TGCAGATGGACACAATATCATTATTTTATATATTTATTTTTACGTGGTGCTGAGGATCAAACTCAGGGCCTCACACGTGCTAGGCGAGTGTCCTACCACTGAGCCATGACCCCAGCCCCCACTTCTTTTTCTTTTGGATGACTTCTTAAAATTGTGATGTGAATTATTATTCACATATCATGAAATTCACCCTCTTTCTTGGGGAGTGGGGCAGGATAGTGGGCATTGAACTCAGGAGCACTTAACCACTGAGCTACAGCCCCAGCTCTCTCTCTTTTTTTTTTTTTTAAATTTTTTTTAGTTGTAGATGGACACAATACCTTTATTTTATTTTTATGTGGTGCTGAGGATCGAACCCAGTGCCTTCCACATGCAAGGTGAACTCACCACCACTGAGCTACAACCCGAGCCCACCAGCCGTCTTTTATATTTTATTTAGAGGCAGAGTCTTGCAGAGTTGCTTAGGGCCTCACTAAGTTGCTGAGTCTGGATTTGAACTTGCAATCCTCCTGACTTGGCCTCCTGAGCCGCTGGGATTACAGGCACGGCCACCACGCCCAGCAAATTCCCTCTCTTATACAGCAGACAGTTCAGTGGTTTTTAGGATATTCTCTTAGAATAGTCACAGTTGCACACATATCACCACTAATTCCAGAATATTCTTACCATTCCCAAAGAAACCTCCTACCCATTAGCCTCAACTCTTCCTCCCCTCAGCCCCTGGCAACCAGTCTACCTCTTCCCCTGTGGATTTGCCTATTCTAGACGTTTCACAATAGTGGGATCACATAGATGTGGCCTTTTTAACTGGCTTCCTTCACTTAGAGTCATGTCTTCATGTCCGTCCAGGTCGTAGCACGCACCAGCGCTCTGTTTCCCTCCCTCTCTCCTTTCTGCAGTGCTGAGGATAGCGCCCAGGCCCTTGCACATGCAGGCAAGTGCTTTCCACTGAGCTACAAGTCCAGTCCTGCAAAGTCACTTCTGAAGTGGCTTAACTGCTCAGTGCCTCGGTTAATGTGATCAGTAAACAATACACGAGAAGCACCAGAGCAGCGTCTCGAGTTCCGTGCTCCATGTTAGCTGTCATCGGTTCTAGGAAGTTTGCTATTAAGATTCTGAAAAGGGCTGGGGATACAGCTCAGTTGGTAGAGTGCTTGCCTAGCATGCACAAGACCCTAGGTTCAATCCCCAGCACCACACACACACACAAAAAAAAAGGGATTCTGAAAAGACAGGTGAATCATCTCGGGCTACTTTGAAAATCACAGTTAAAGTCAGAAGGGCTCAGCCTTTACACGCTGAGCTCACACGCTCACACACACACACACACACACACACACACACAAATTAGTTATCTTATGACTGAAGTATTCGATCAAGAGTTCAGGCTTTGGAGCTGGGGCTGGGGCTCAGCGGTAGCACACTTGCCTGGCATGTATAAGGCGCTGGCTTCGATTCTCAGCGCTACATATAAATAAATAAAGCTTTATCAACAACTAAAAAAATAAAAAGTAAAAAAAAAGAGTTCAGGTTTTAATGTCAGAATAAACCCTGGCACTATCAATTACTGGCTGTGTGTCCATGGCAGATCAGTTAACCTCTCTGAGCCTCAGCTTCCCTTTCTGTATAATGAATTTAATGAGAGTACCTCCTCCAAAGACTAACACATGGGTAAACATAAAGGGTAGAGTAGAGCATATAACATATATTAAGTGTCATATAAATACTAGGTCTTAGTAGCATTATACTAAGCATTATACTGTGCTGGTATTTGACTTTGAGAAAACCCTGACCCAAACTCACCTATCTAGGAAGGCTAGCTTTGGGCCAAGTTCTTTCTGAGATTGGCATGCTCTTGCCCATTTTTCAGATGAGAAAACAGGTTCAGAGAAAGTAAGTCTCACGGCCAGAAAACCGATCTGGAGTTCAAAGGCCTTGCTCTGAACCTCCTTATCCCAACTTGTAGGAGCTCCTAACCCTTCCTAGGCCTTCACACACTCTACCCCACCTCCAGCCCACCAGGCTGGACAGGAAGAGGATATTACACTCTCCTTCCAAGAACTCCTTCTGCTGAGCCAGGGAAACCCACTTCCTAATAGGGCCAGGGTCCAGTGCAGGAAAGGAAGTGGCATGGATGGGCATAGCAGGGAGCCACAGCCACCAGGGACAGAAGGGTCACATGGGAAGGGGAGCTAGAAGCAAGCCTAGAATTGAGAGCTCTGCCTCTTATTCCTAAGTCCCCTGAATACTTCCTGTTTCACCTTCCAGTGAGATTCTCTCCACGACCAGGAATCCACACCACGAGGGCCATTCCCTCCAGGACCCTCATCCATCCTCATCTGTTGTTGTCCCCTCTGATGCCTCCCAACCTTCCCCTGTCTCCAGTCCCCGTCCCCCGTCCTCTTGATCTCCAGTTTTTCACTTTCAGTCCCCTCTCTCAAGTCTCAGTGAGTCTTTCATTGGAGATATCCCTTCTCCAACTCCAGAGCCTCATCCCTTGTTCCAAAGTCACATCTTGTTTCCAAGACCCTGTCTTTGGAAAACTCACCCACTGTCCTGACATTCTCCTCCATCCATCTCCCTTCCTGACTCCCTGACCAAAGAAACCTGAGTTCCCAAGCCCCAACCTGGGGGACAGAAGTACCCCCTAAATCCAGTGCTCAGTCTTTGCCCCAAGGGCCGCCTCTTCCAAGCCTCCTCCCTACCCCAAGACCTCTGCAGCCCTCCCCATTCGTTTCTAGCATCCACTCCCTACCTCCACCCCCTCCCTTTGCAGCACACTTTCCTGACTCCCTACAGGTGCCCACTTCCGGCCTCCAGTGCCCACTCTCTTCCCCTTGAGCTTCTCTCTCCTCAGAGTGTCCTGCTCCTGTTCCAACCTCCGGAGACCCCTCCTGCCCCACCGTCCGGAGACCCCCACCTCCCTGTCCGGAGTCTCCAGTCCTCCTTCAACGCCTCCTCCCCCTCCGGAGACCGTGCGTCGCCAGCTGCCTCTCCTGTTTCAAAAGCGCCCAACAACTTTCAGTGTCTCCCGTATGCGCAAGTCTGCTCTCTGGACACCCCTTCCTCAATGTCCCTTGCCTGGAGACCCCATCGCACACCCGAGCGCGAACCAAGGCCCTGTTCCCTCCTTCCCAGCCCCAGAGCCCACGTCGGATCCAGACCATCCGCGGCAGGGTGGCACTTGTCAGCGCCGATCCAAGCCTCGGCTGTGTGCACGTGGACCCTCCCTCCGTCCGCCCCCCGGCGAGGCGCGCCCCTGTTACCATAGCGACCCCTGTCCGGACCCCAGCGGCCCTGGTCCCGCGGCAACTGGGGGGCTACGGCTCTGGCTGCAGTTACGGGGCCCACAGCTGGAGCGGACTTCCGGCAGAAAGAACCCGCCTGCCCTCTCGCGCACAGCCCGCTGGGAGTTGTAGTTTCACGAACGACCTGGCTCCTCCGGGCGACCAACCACGGGAGAGGCTCGGGCCCACTTCCCAGCATGCTCAGCGACCGCCCCTTTCCTACCAAAGAATCCGGACTCCAAATGCATGCCGGGAGTTGTGGACGAAGGTGTCTTTGAAGGACTACAATTCCCGAGATGCTTGACAGCCAGCGAAGGGAGTTGTAGGGAAATGTAGTTCTGGTCGCCTCCTTCCCAAACCCTCACCCAGGGGAAGACAGCGGGTTGGGAAGAGGAGACCGCCTGGGTGACCTAGACGTGTAACTGTCTTTTCATGCTCACCCACTGCGCTGTTTCAAATACAGTGAGCCTGGGGGTGTAGCCCTGCAGTGGAGCCTGTGCTTAGCATGCGGGAGGCGCTGGGTTCGTCCCCGCACTGAAAAAAAAATGCAACCAACGTTGTTTCCTTGTGGGAGACAGGTAAGCACAATTTCCTTGACTCTAAAGCTTGAATTTGACAGGTGTGGGGCCCGAATTCAATACCCAATACCGGGGGGTGGGGGGTGGGGGGTGGCTGAATTTGAAAGTCAGAATTGTGCAAACCTGGTCATTGCTTGTCTAGGCTATGTGACTTTGGGCCAGTGATTTCACCTCTTAACTTCTTCATCTGCCAAATAAGAAAGATCAGGGAGTCAACTCAGTAGGGTGGTTTTAAAGTATTAAGTTTTCAAAGTTCTTAGCACAGTACTCTGCACATAGTAAATGCTCAATAAATATCAGTTCACTTTTTGGGGGGAGGGGCAGTACAGGGGATTGAACGGAAGGATGGTCTAACTGAGCTACATTCCAACCCATTTTTTAAATTTTGATACAGGGTCTAAGTTGCTGAGGCTGACTTGTAATTCTCCTGCCTCAGCCTCTTTAATCACTGAGATTACAGGTATGTACCATCCTGTCTGACTTAGTTCACATCACAAATGCCCATTATTAATATTTCCTGTCCAGAGGCCCATTTGTCTTCTCTCAGTTACTCTAATATGCCAACTGCATTCCCACCTCAGGGACTTTCCATGGCCTTACTAGTCCCTTGAAGACCTTCCCCACCTCCATTCCATGTTTGGCCTCTTCTTCTCTTAGCTTAAACACCACCTATGCAGATCTACAGAGACATCCTAGATGTAAAGATCCCCAGAATTCTCTAGAAGTTAATTAGGGCATTTTTATAGCCTTTATTCCAACTTTTAATGGTTTCCTCGGCGGGGGGATTTGTGGAGACCCTCCATTAGGTGGTGTGTCTTAGGGGGCAGGCACCTTATCTGTGAACTGTGCCTTCATCATCTAGGACACGGCACGTAGTAAGCACTCAGTAAAGGCATGCCTATGGGTACTGACGGGAGATTTGCCCGGACAACAACAAAGCATATTACAGAACCCTGTCAATTAGACGTGTGCTCCTGACAGAAGAACCAGTACAAAACTACTGAATGTTGGCCTGGCGTGGTGGTGGGTGGGTGGCAGGAGGATCGTGAGTTCAAAGCCAGCCTCAGCAAAGGTGAGGCACTAAGCAACTCAGTGAGGGCTGGGGTGTGGCTCAGGGGTTGAGTGTCCTTGAGTTCAATCCCCAGTACCCCCCGCCCCGAAAAAAAAGCCCTATTGAATATTGCAAGGGTAAAAAAACGACCAGAGATGGACTACTCTCCTGCATACGTCTCCTTCTCCAACAAGGTTGGAGTAGGGTGAGCAAGGTGCCCAAGGAGCAAAGCTGAAAAAGACACTACTCAGATGCCAACCCAGCCCTGGCATGAGCCTGAGCCTGGGTGCCGCCTTTCATTTTATGCTCTGGGGACCTTGTTTGTGTCACCTTAGTCCTGACTCTGATCTCCAGTGCTCAGCACAGCACTTGGCATGAGTGTTCAATCTACATGTTAGATGATAAATGAACCAGCAGCAAGAAAATGGGCCCTGTCCCTGTCCTGGAAACAGTTGCCATCCACCAGGAAAATGGACATAAATGACATTACACAAAAAAGGTAAAGATTATTTTAATGAAGCCAGGTGCAGTGGCATAGGCCTGTAATCCCAACAGCTTGAGAGGCTGGAGCAGGAGGATCTTGAGTTCAAAGCCAGCCTCAGCAAGATAGTGAGTCCGTAAGCAACTCAGTGAGGTCCTGTCTCTAAATAAAATACAAAATAGGGCTGGGAATGGGACTCAGTGGTCGAGTGCCCCTAGGTTCAATCCCCGGTACAAAAAAAAATTAATAATAATTTAACAAGTCCTGTGATTTAAAAGTTGTAGGATGCTTTAAATGCTGAATTAGTGATTTTTAAAAAATATTTTTTAGTTACCTTTATTTTTATTTATCTGTATGCGGTGCTGAGAATTGAACCCAGTGCCTCACAATACTAGGCAAGTGCTCTCCCACTGAGCCACCACTCCAGCCCCTGAATTAGTGATCTTCTACTGTCTAATGAACTATCCCCAAACTTAGCGGCTTAAAATAATAATCATAAATCTCATAGTTTCTGTGGGTCAGTAATGGAGAACAGCATCGCAGGGCGGTTCCGGCTTGAAGTCTCTGGCAGGATTGCAGTTATTAGAAGGCTTGAAGGGGCTGGCAGAGCTGTGTCCCGGCCGCTCCTGTGGGGCCACATTGATGCTGACTGTTGGTGGACTTCTCAGTTCCTTACTCTCAGGAAACCCAGGTTTGGAGGCTCATCCCATGGAAAAACCCACACCCTAGAGAGAGCCCTGGGAAGAAGGAGAGGCTATTTGGTGGCCAAAGAATGGAGCTCTGCTCCCACATCAGCTCAACTCCAGGAGTCACAGATGCAGACAGGAATAATGAGGGAGAGAGAGTCTATAAAGGGGAGGAATATTCGCATCTTGTCTGCGATCTCCTGGGAACTCAGGTGCCACCCACTCCTCATGCCTTCCATGGTTTGGTGTTTAAGGTCATGGCGGCTGGTAGGTGTCTTCAGCCTGACGTGGGGGAGAGAGAGAGATGAGGCAAGTCTCCAAGGTTATTATAGTTTCGGACAAAACATTTCTCAAATGTTCAACAGGTCTCTCTGCAGAGCTGAGTAGACTCTGGCCCAAACGTCAAGGCGACAAAGGAGATCAACCCAAAATGAAGACAGAGATGTCAAGCCTTCATCTTGACCTCAGCAGACATCAGCAGGCCCCAGCGAGGAGTCAGTGTTTTCAGAAAAAGTGACCTCCAGGTCCCTGAAGAGTAACCTAGACAACCGTTAGCATCATGACCCCCAAGTCAGAGGTGTGATCTCGGGCCAAGCCAGTGGCAGACTGATGGTGGATGCCCACGTGACCTCCCAAAGCAGTGATTTTAAAGTAAATTAATGCAAGTGAAATGAGACAGTTTATTTAGGCTTTTCCTCAGTAACACGACCTCGGTTGACCTCCCCACAGGACACAGGAGTGTCCTCATGTAGCAGCTGCTTTGGGGAGGGGCGAGGGGGGGGAAGTGATCAAGAGAGGGCAAGTGGGGAACTGCAGTGTCCTCTATGACCTTGACTCAGATGTCACGCCCTATCCTTTCTGAAGTACAGATCAGCCCTGTGGGATGCCAGAGGAAACAGGAGTACCCGTGAGAATCACTGGGTCCATCTTAGAAACTGGCTTTCATCATTATCTAGAGCAGGGCTGCCTGTTTTAATGAAGAGTTAGGGACAGCTAGCAATGGATTCTGTCCTTCCTCTCTTCCTCTGTCTTTCCCAAGGCTGGGGATTGACTGAGGGCCTTGTGCTCCATAGGCAAGTCATCTATCACTGAGCCACACCCCAGCCCCTAACTTTTCTTCTCTCCAACTTTTTTGGGGGGGGCCAGGGGTGGGATGAGGACTAGGGATTAAACCTAGGGGTACTTTACTACTGAGCTAAGGCCTCAGACTTTCTAAATTTTTTTATTTTGAGACAGGGTCTCACTAAATTGCTAAGGGTCGAGTTAAATTGAACTTGCAATCCTCCTGCGTAGCTGGGATTACAGATGTGTGCCACGGTACCCGGTTTGCTTTCTCAAACTTTCTAATTAGATCATATCTACTTGAAAATGTAATAGTAGTACAGAGAACTCCAATATATCATTCACCTGGATGCACCAATTGTTGACATTTGATACATTTACTCTCTGCGTGTATTTACTTGAATTTTTTTTTCCCTTTGGTTCCTTGCAGACAGCATGCTAGCACTTCCTCCCAAAATCTAAATATTTATTACTCCTAAGAAAGGACTTTCTCCTCCATAACCACAATGCAATTATCACACTTAGAAAATATAATATTAATACTATACTATTGTATAATATACAGTTCATATAAAAATATCTTTGATCTGGAGAATGAGATTGATCAGATTATATTATGTACATGTACAAATATGACATAATGAATCATACTATTATGTATGATTATAATCCACCAATTAAAAAATGTATTTCTGGGTGTAGTGGCAACACACCTGTAATCCCAGCAGCTCAGGAGGGTGAGGCAGGAGGATCACAACTTCAAAGCCAGTCTGGGCAATATAGTGAGATCTTGTCTCAAGATAAAAAATAAAAGGGTTAGGGATGTAATTCGGTGTCAAAGTGCCTCTGGGTTCATTTCCCAGTATGGGGGGGAGAAGTATCTCAGTAATATTCCTTATATATATATATATATATATTTTTTTTTTTTTTTTTTTTTTTCCTGCACCAGAAACTCATCTAGGATCACAGATTGCATTTAGATGTAGTATTCCACCAGGTGGAATCCCAGGGACTCTGGAGGCTGAGGCAGGAGGATCACAATTTCTTTCTTTTTTTTTTTTTTTTTTAGAGAAAAAGAGAGAATTTTTTAATATTTATTTTTTAGTTCTCGGCAGACACAACATCTCTGTTTGTATGTGGTGCTGAGGATCGAACCCGGGCCGCATGCATGCCAGGCGAGCGCGCTACCACTCGAGCCACATCCCCAGCCCAGAGGATCACAATTTCAAGGACAGCCTCTGCAATTTAGGGAGACCATGTCTCAAAATAAAAAGTAAGCTGGGCGTGGTGATGCTTGCCTGTAATCCCAGTAGCTCTGAAGGCTAAGGCAGGAGGATCACCAGTTCAAACCAGTCTCAGCAATTTATCAAGGTGCTAAGCAACTCAGTGAGACCTTGTATCTAAATAAAATATCAAAAAGGGCTGTGGATGTGGCTCAGTAGTTAAGCATCTCTGGGTGTAATCCTAGTACCAAAACACATAAACAAACAAACAAATAAAATAAAAAGGGCTGAGGGTGTATCTCAGTGGTTGCACACCCCTGGGTTCAATCCCCAGTCGCAAAGGAGGGGGGAAATCATGTCCCTTGGCCTCCTTTTATCTGGAATAATCTCTTCTCATTCTTTTCTGTATTTCAATACACTAGCCATTTTTGATGATTCCCAATCAGTTATTTTGCAGAATATCCCTTAATTTGGATTTGTCTGATGTTTCATTTTATATATATATATATATATCTAGGTTTAACCTTTTTTGTCAAGAATATCACCAAGTGACACTCTTTTCCTCCCAGAGCATCCCCTCAGGGGCATGTGATGTCGCTGGATCTCATCCTTGGTAACATTAAATTCAATCACTTGGCTAAGGTAATGTCTGTGACACTTTTCTTTTCAAAATTATACAATTTATATGATATCCAAAGCATAAACAACAGGAGAAGAAGAGATGGATTAAACTTTATTAAAATTAAAAACTTTTGTGGCTGGGGTGTACCTCAGCCATGGCAGAGAGCCTCCCCAGCATATAGGAGGCCCTGGACTTGATTGAGGGCACCACACCACAGACACACAGTAGAAACCTTTTGTGTATCAGAGGACAGCTGCCAAGGAGGCTGGGGCTGGGGCTCAGCAGTAGAGCGCTGGCCTAGCATATACGAGGCACTGGGTTCCATCCTCAGCACCATATAAAAGTAAATAAATAAAATAAAGGTATTGTGTCCAACTACAACTAATTTTTTTTTTAAAAAAGGACAAATGTCAAGATAGTGAAAACAAAATCCACGGAATGGAAAAAAAATGTTTGCAAGCACATCTCTCCTGTGGGATTAATATCCAGTATATATAAAGAACTCACCAGGTGCAGTGGCATAGGTCTCTAATCCCAGGTACTTGAGAGGCTGAGGTAGGAGAATTGCAAGTTTTAGGCCAATCTGGGCTACACAGAAAGATCCTCTTTCAAATAAAAAGTAAAAAGGGCTGAGGAGGTGGCTCAGTGGTTGAGTACCCCTGGGTTCAATCCCCAGTAACAAAATAAATAAATAAAAATTAAAAAAATAAAATGTAAAAAGACCTGGCATTGTGGCTCAGTGGTAGAGTGCTTGCCTAGCATGTATGAGGCAGTCTCAGCACCACATATAAATAAATAAATAAAGGCCCATCAATTAAAAAAAATATATATATATGTATATATTAGTTGTAGTGGGATACAATACCTTTATTTTATTTATTTATGTTTACGTGGTGCTAAGGATCGAATCCAGGCCCTCATATGTGCTAGATGAGTGCTGTACCATTTTTTAGGGCCACAACCCCAGCCCTAAAAATATATATTTTTTAAAAAAATAAAAAAGTAAAAAGACTTGGGAGTGTATCTTTGTGGTAGAGAGCCCCTCAGTTCCAGCTCTAGTACTGCCCCCCCACACACAAATAAAAGAAAGAAAAGAAAAAGTGAAAATCTGCTTTGACCTAAAAATGGGCAACCATCGCTTCTCGGCCTTTTGGCTAAGATCAAGTGTAAAAACGGGCAACCAACATGAAAAGATCTTTCTCTAAAGAAGAAATACAAATGTTCAATCAGCCCATGAAAAGATGCCCAACATTATTAGGCATGAGGAAAATGCAAATCAAAACCACAAGATACCACTTCCCACCCATTAGGAGTATGCCTATTTTAAAAATAAAACATACCGAAAATATGAAGAAACCAAGTGTTGGCAAAGATGTGGAGAAACTGGAATCCTGATGCATTTCTGGTAAGAATGTAAAATAGCACGGCAGCTGTGGAAAAGTTTAGTGGTTCCTTATAAAGTTAAACATGGGGCTAGGGACATGGCTTAGTGTAGAGCACTTGCCTAGCATACCTGAAGCCCAGGTTTGTCCCTAGCGCTGCAAAAAAAGAGAAAAAAAAAAGTTTAACAGAATAAAGAGAGTTACCATACAATTTAGTAATTCGATTTTTAGGTGTAACCATCAAAACCAGGGATTCTCACAGATAATTATACACCTGTGTTCATATCACAATAGCCTAAACCCCAAATGCTCAACACATGAGTAGATAAACAAAACATGGTTTATACACACTGTGGAATATTATGCAGCCTTAAAATGGAATGAAGTTCTGATACATGCTACATATATGATCCTCGAAGTAAGTGAACAACCCAGACACAAAAGGACAAATATTGCCTATTCTAGTTTCATGTGAAGGACCTAGAATAAGCAAATTCAAAGACAGAAAGTAAAGTAAATGTTAGTTACCAGGGACTGCCAGCAGAGAAGGAGAATGGATGTTACTGTTTAATGAGTCTAGAGTTTCTGTTTGGGATAATGAAAAAGTTCTGTGAAAGGATACCAGTGCTGATCACACAACATTGTGAATATACTTAATGCCACTGAGTCGTACAGTCAAAAGTGGTTACAATGGGGGCTGGGGCTGTAGCTCAGTGGTAAAGTGCTTGCCTTGCATATGTGAGGCACTGGGTTTGATCGTCAGCATCACATAAAAATAAATAAAGATATTGAGTGTCCATCTACAACTAAAAAAATACTTTTTTAAAAAAAGTGGTTACAGTGATAAAATTTGTTATTTATATTGTCTCCTAGTAAAAAAAAACATTATATGATTTACTTTTTATTTTTATTTAAATTTTTCGTTTTTGGTACTAGAGATTTAACCAGGGACAATTTACCACTGCTCTACATCCCCAGTCCTTTTTATTTTTTATTTTGAAACAGGATCTCACTAAGTTGATGAGGACCTCATCAAGTTGCTGACACTGGCTTTGAACTTGTGATCATCCTGCCTTAGCCTTTTGAGTCACTGGGATTATGAGCATGCGTCACTGCAACCGGGTATAATTTATTTTTAAAAAAATTCACCACTTAGTAGTAACTATTACCAATAGAATGCTTACTAAATTCCAGACTTTTTCTTTTCTTTCTTTCTTTCTTTCTTTTTTCCTCCTCCTTTTCCTTCTTGTACTGAGAATTGAACCCAGGGACACTGTGCCTCTGAGCTACATCCCCTGTTCCATTATTATTATTATTATTATTATTTTGGTACCAGGGATTGAACTCGGGAACACTCGCACTGAGCCACATCACCGGACCTGTTTTTGCATTTTATTTAGAGACAGGGTCTCACTGAGTTGCTTAGCGCCTCACTTTTGCTGAGACTGGCTTTGAATAGGTGATTCTCCTGTCTCAGCCTCTTGAGCCACTGGAATTAACAGGTGTGCACCACTGCACCCAGCTTATTTTTAAAATTTTGAGACAAGGTCTCACTAAGTTGCCCAGGCTGGTCAGGTATCAGCCATTCACCAAAAAACCCTGACAAATTGCAGGGTTTTTCCTAAGCTTTTTATAAATAAAAATTTCTAAACAACTCTGTAAGGTAGGTACTAATTCTATCAACACCATTTTACAGATGAGGAAACTGTGGAACAGAGAAGTTGAGGAACTTGCCAGTAAGTTGAGGAGCTGAGGGGCTGGGGTTGTAGCTCAGCGGCAGAGCGCTTGCCTCACACACATGAGGTGCTGGGTTCAATTCTCAGCACCACATTAAAAATAAATAAAATAAAATAAAGATATTGTGTCCATTTACAACGAAAAAAAAAGTTGTGGAGCTGATATTCAAGCCCAGGCCTTCTGACTCCAGAGTCTATGCCTGTCTTGGTATTCTACACTGTAAGCGTGTAGATAGGTCTGGAATACAAGACAATTCCAGAGAGGCAAGTAGGATGGGCCTGAGATGTTCAAGGGGACAGCATCTAATTTTAAAAAAGACTATCGTGTTCTAGTTGTAGTAGTTGGACACAATGCCTTTATTTTATTTTTATGTGGTGCTGAGGATCGAATCCAGCGCCTTGCACGTGCTAGGCAAGCGCTCCACCGCTG